AATGGCTTGCCTTCAACTGCTGCTTGTGCACTCCGAGGGTGCTCCAAAGTCGAATGAAACATAAGCAGCTGTTCACTGGAATCCAGTCTATCAGAAAGGTTCAGTCTATCAATAAGGCCTGCCTTATATTTACTGAGAGCAATCCCAACTCCGTCAACGTTGGTGGTCATTGATTCGAGAGCACTGTGGACACAGTATGTGGGCCATGCCATCAGGACCCAAGTCTGGTATGCGTAAATGAATTAACACACTTGTGCTCTGTGTGCGTTCTTCCGAGACTCAGTACACGTGGATTTCCAAGGAATGTAAAGCCATAGAAACTATCTACTGTTGATAGAGCGTACGGACTTTTAAACATCTGATATAGAATGATCCTAGGTCTAAGAGATAATCCGGTTTCTTTGATAGCGTAGCTGATAACCTCGGTAGTTTTTTGCTGGCGAACTTGAGGAGAAGGCACTTGAAAAGAAATGGGAATGGCAGAAGTTAAATACTCAATGGGGATGGGTTTTTTTCAGCATCTGAATACCGGTCCTTCTCGGGAGTGCGACTACAGAATGCTATATACTTTTGCTCGGGGTCATCCGCCCACAAACGTGAAAGGTATAAAACCACACCTGTACTCACATCTGCCGGTCGATTTTAGCGGGTTTTCACACTACCGACACGTGGGTAAGTGGCTTGAGGCGGACGCTGTAGCATACCAGTGAGCGATAGTTGCGGTTTCCAACCGTTTTAAACACCGTGCGGCTTCGTGCTATGCACTTGTCAGCTGTTTATAACCTCACCGATAGTTTTCCTGCAGTTAATCGATCAAAAGCCCGGTATGTCAGTTAAATGCTTATCTTTTTTCCATGTATCATAAGTATTAAAGTGTCTAATATCCTCTTCATGGTTATCAAATTACTTAGTCCAATGTTGTCCTCAGCGCAAATTAATACCACAACTACTCCACATACTTCAAGCGCAGCGTCCACCCACTCACGAAGGTCTGAGACATTTCGCACAGAAACACTGCCTCTCGACTTTTACGACTGTAATCTGTTTAACCACGCCCACTCATGTCCAAAAGCAGTAAGCGATAATATTTTTTCTATGGGCTTAATGAGTAGCGGCGATCCTGCAGATTGTCTTATCTTCGAAGTCAGTGAGCCCTTGCACTTTGTCCTTTACTTCCTGATTATATCATTTTTAACCACTCTTATTTCATCCACGTTTTGTTCTTTTTTACTTTGTTTCTTTTCTATCACTCGTTACTTTTCAAGCGTTAAAAAGATGCCTACTGGACATACCTTTTTTCGTGAACATTCGTAATTACTGGCTATCGTTGTTTGTTTAAACGCATCATTTCTTAAAGGTCATTGGCTGGTATATGTCCTTCGTAATGTATGTTATCGCAGACTCCCGTTTCCGCTATTGCTGTTTTCTTCGGTACACGTGTCTGATTCTTGCTTTTCTCGCTTTTCTCTTGTCTGTCATTCAGCGTCTCCATGCTGTTGGTTAGCTTTGATTTTACCACTACTGTGAAGCAGTATTCTCATGTATGCAATTCTGTCCTGACTCGTCTTTCCTGTTCTCAATGCGGTCGTGGGGTGCGAGCTTTTGGCGAAAGTGAAAGTGGTGAAAGTAGGGTCTCAGCTTCTGATCACACAAGACACGGATGGGATACGCACTGCTGAGGGTTCCCGGAAAGGAAGAAACGGTCGCCATTTTTCTTTCGATTTTTTGTTAGCAGTCTGGTTATGATGTATTCGACTTGTATCAAGTAAGACGATTTATCTTCCTTGGATTCCAATCGCTATGCCGCCATTTTGTGTAACTTGTTGCAAAGCGTTACACGCTTGGCCCCGCATCATGCCAGTTCACAATCAGATACTCGACTTGTTCGGTCGATTTTATTTACCTACATACTCGCGCATCATCATTGTTGCTCAAGTCACAGACGTGATTGCTACGTTCATCATCGAACACGGTGTGCTCTTCCGATGTCAATCACAGACATCGCGAGCTATTAATTATGTGTTAGTGATGGAATTTATCACGTGGTTCGTTCGATGAATTGGAACAACTTCTTTCTCTCTTCATCTCTTCCACAAGCAATGTACGTTTAATGTCTTTAAACAGCAGATATCCGATCCGAAACAAAGAGATAGAGATCACAATTTCAAGCTTTCCTACGAGAATCAGAGTATGTTTTTTCCAGCTCACTACTCGAAGACTTTGAACAAAATTCCAAGAGATATCAGCAAATACTTTACACTGCGTAATTTAAGCCTGCGATTAGTAGGCAATCAATCGTCTAAAGCGCCATTACTATGTTCGGGACCTCTCAACGCTTTCGAAAAGGGTATCGTTGGCGCCTGACTAAATTACGGACAACACACTACTTTTTGGACCACAGCCCTTTTATTTCACTTAATTTTTTCTCCGCCCGAACATCTCATATGCTTGTTAAGAACCTTGGTTCATCGATAGGTGACAAACACAGCAGAACACGTTTGATTACCTTGTTACTCAAATTTGACATTTGTGCCCATTTTAAGAAAGCCATTTATTCACCGGCATGAAAAGGGAACAGTTTCTCACATTATCGATGAATATACAATTTATTTATGTATTTACATATCATATGGATAGTTCTCGCTACTTACTTCCCTGTGACTCCTTAACGAAGTTCCCATTCCTTTGCACATCCGATTACTCTTATAACTTGCCTAATCACCTGCAATATGTAGCTATTATTACGTATAAGTTTTCAGTCCGTGTATGATACTGTGGATTACTTTATCGTTTTACACACTTTTTTACTCTTTTACTGTTCATTTAATTGTTTGTTTATTCTTTCTCATTTTTGACACGCTTTTAACTGCGCTCTCCTCCATCTTTTGTTTCAAGCATTTTATTTTTAAGCATTTATCCGCTTAAACTTTTCCCTTTTTCTCTTCTGTTATCGTCGTCATTCTTGAATTTTACTACTGTTGATGATATTTGGCCAACTACGTAGTGGTGCTCGAATCACAAGTCTCCAACTAAACGGAATGGTGCCGTCAACTATTGATTGATGGGTATTGATGCAAACAGCATTTGTCCCATGCGATCTGACCCACCAGGCACTGCATGCTCTGCGCCATCGATGTCACTTCTTATATATCGTGTTTCCCCACCTCTCCTTAAATTAAGGTCCTTAACTATGGCTACATTAAGTTCATGCTATTACTGAATATCTCCGCGAAGTGCAAGGTGTTACTAAAACCTCTGTCTGCTAATTATGTATGGGGTTGCTTCAGTACCGCACGCGAGTTTATTTACGAACTGGATCGAGTCCACCATAAACAACGGTGCATCGTTTATCATGAATAGTGTCCCGTTGTGTAAAGCAGACACTATTTGTCCAGTTAAACATAGCCTTTTCTGCCAGTGGTCCATCACTGGAGAAATACTGACTTGCAGACACATGGGATTACGTCATAGAAGCATTATCATCAAAAGCGATGGCTCAAACGTTTCATTTTTATCCTTCCTCATGAAACTCAACAATATGGTGGGACAGAACAGTGGTGGTAACTTGTAAATTGAGAAATTGTGGACTACGAGCAACATCAGACTCACAACATTCATCGTCATCATCCGTACACACTAGCTGTAGGTGAGAAACACACTTCAGTTAACTGCGCTGCAATACAAAAAAGATACACGCAAGGGCGAGATACCAAACCGTATATAGTACACAAACCAAAGATCAAGTAACATGTTGCTAGGTGTAATAATATAATATATAATATAATATTATATATATATATGTATAATATATATGCAGTGTAAGATCGTTGTTGGAGTAGGAAGCTAAGCGGAATGGGGAGGAACAATAAACAACACAAACCCCATAGAAGTCCATCAGACTAACTACTGGTGTGTCTAAGCTAGAAATTCATTCCGCTGCGATGTTAGCATGGTGTGAGTACAACAAGTCCTTGGTTCCCTCCTTTTACTATAGTTGAACATAGATATACCACCTTACTTCCGTATGTAGCGCGAGTGATACTGGCGAAAGAACCGGTCACTTTGACGATTAGGAAGAAGTGCTATTTAGTGTTGGGAATAATCTTGCTGCAAACGGTTTATCTCATAGCAGATGGAAATTGGGTGCTGCCCGCCCACGACGCTTTTCGATGTCATTTCATCTCATCATCGAAACGCGTCGTGCTTGTGTCAGCTTTGACTACGGTCGTAGTGATCGCAGTGACCAAGGTTTATTTCAGTGTGAATCGCGGTCCACATTGCGATTGCGCGTCGCAATCCAATCACAACGTGTAGTCCAACATTGACTTTCCAATTAGGCTTCTCTCAGTGCTGAGGGCGACACGATCATGGGAACGAAAAATGCGTCTCTAGCATTCAAAGTCGCCACGGTGAATTGGATGATTGCGACAATCCGCTGTTTATAAGACTACTTTGGTATGCATCGACGATTCGTGAACAACCCATCTATCTACCGGTACTCAACGACTGACTACTCTCTTACTGTTCATGTCGGGGTGACGATTTCCGAACACACGTGCAGACTGGGTTACGAAGACTGGGTCTTCCAACCAACCCGCTGTCTTTGATTTCAGCCATATGACGGACATCCGGGGCATCACATTGAGGCACGTATGGGCGTGTAGCCGATTTTTTCATGCAGTCAGACAGTAGAATGTGGTTTACGGAACAAAAGCAGAACTTAGATGAATGTCCATTTGCTGATACTGAACCTACTACTGAGCGTTAGGTCCTAGTAGCACAGAATGGATAAGTTTCTTTTGCTAAGTCACCTCTTTTGCACTTAAGTCGTCCTGGTGACATTTCACATGTCTACATTGTAGTGAAAGTCATTTTTGCCATTTGATGGAGCTTATGAAGAGATGCGTAGGTGCTGAATGGTAGCCTCATTTTGTTTTTCGCGAATATTTCGTTGGCATATCTCTCACCGTGATCTCCTCTTTCCCCTCCCTCCAACTTCAGCCTCCTGAAAACCCAACTGGTCTACCGAGGCAAGTCGGCAACAAAACTGAATGTGCCTTGCTGGGGTTTGTTCAGGGTCTTGGACGCAGTTTTGAAGAGGTGCGTGAGCAATGGCCTGAGGAACGATTGTACAAAGTGTACACTTTCAACTCTGTGCGGAAATCCATGAGCACAGTAATCAAAGAAAAAGACAAACCCCTCACCTTTTTGCTCTTCACAAAAGGTGCCTCAGAGATGGTTGTCAAATGGTATGTTGAGCCCCTTTTATGAAGTATTGGATGCTCTCACACCTAACGCTTATTTCTTAACTTAGTGTCATCTGTCGCTCTTTCCTCTATTTCGTCATGTGGCGTTATTTTCACCACTCCGTGCAGTTGTTCGTGGGCTATGGACGCCAAAGGCAATCCGAAACCATTCGGACCACAGGATCAAGAAAACCTCACCGTCTCGGTCATTGAACCTATGGCTGCCGAAGGTTTGCGTACCATCTGCATCGCGTACAAGCGGATCATCGTAGGTTAGTCATTTGTCCTTCACCCCTTGGTTTCTTCCTGTCATTCGTTCACTTGCTTTATTTATTTTTCAGTTACTATCCAATCCACTTGGCTATCTCGCATTTAGTATTCCCTCTACTGAAGCTGGAAGTCCCCGCTCCACCCACCTCACTCCCGCCACTTGCGCCTGATTTAGTTTCAGTAATTCATCATCCCTGTCTATTCCGGATGTAAATACTATTACTTTCGATCACGACAACTAAAATTGGCACTTACTCGCCCGTATTTCGCCCACTCAAGTGGACTAAAAAATTGGGAGTGAAGCGAGCTCGCCTACATTTACTGACGATTGATTACCCGGTTTCCCACCTCGTCTCAGCAGTTGTCCTTTTATTCCTAAGTAAACGAAGTTGAATTTACTTAGCTGGAGCCTCTCAAGCCCACTTTTTCTTTCTTGAAAAAAACAGATGTTAGTTTGGATTTTTTCCACTTACTATCTATCCTGCTTTCCCTCCCTCTCTCTGTGCACACGATGTTTACGTGCGTCGAACACTAGCAACAGCCGCTTCCGTTTTCCATGGGCTCTGCTTGTTTTTGACGCAAACACATCACAAGAAATTGTTTGATGAATGATTCATAGTATTGCATCACTTGTTGGAGCACCGTCACACATATTGGCGGCCCACTGTCGTCGTGTTCCTCGACATCAAAGGTGCCTTCGATTCGGTTGATCGATGTGCCCTGTGGAACTGTCTACTCAGGAAAGGTGCGCCCAGGAAATGTGTAAATATTATCCAAGCATTATACGCGCGTAGCACGGACAGAGTGAGGGCTTACGGCAAGCTGTCGCCACCCTTCAATATCTCCAGTGGTGTGAGACAAGGATGCCCGCTGTCACCTTTCCTCTTCAACTTCGCTATTGATGAAGTCATGGAGATTGCATTTACAGGACACGACTTAGAAGGTGTGGAGCTACTCCCAGGAGAATGACTTCTTGATTTGGACTATGCAGACGACATTGCCCTCATCTGTGACAGCTCCCAGAAGTGCCAAGCCGCACTGGACAGGTTAGCACTGGCGGTCAGCCCCTTCGGGCTTTGCTTTGCACCATCGAAATGCAAAGTTTTCCTCCAAGATGGGCAGGGATCGCCTCCTGCGCTGACCCTTTTTGGGGATCAGCTAGAAGTCCTTCAGAAATTCAACTACCTGGGAAGTTGTATCAGCGCTCGAAGTGCTTTTGCTAACCTTCGCCACCTATGGCGGCGGCGCGACTTCACTCTCGCCCTGAAGGGTAGAGTGTACAATGCAGCGGTACGTTCGACATTACTGTACGGTTGCGAAACCTAGCCCCTAAGATCGGCGGACATAAAGAGGCTAGTTACGTTCGACCATCGGTGCCTACGCAGTTTGTTTCACATCTGATGGGAACACCGCGTGAGTAACGAGCGTGTTCGACGCCTTGTTTACGGCACAGGAAAAGGAAATGAACCGCTCAGCGCCGTTATTTCAAGCACCAGGCCCGGATAGCTCGGCCACGCGTTGCGCATGTCAGCCCACAGACTTCCGCGACGTGTGTTGTTTGCTCACCGTGGGTGTGGATGGAAGAAGAGGAGGGTTGGCCAAGCGATGACTTGGTAGAGAGAAATGAAGGCCCTCACTTCGGAGATGGCCTCCGTTAGAACTTCACGGCTCCCTGGTTGGGGTCCAAAAGACGATGAACACGTTTGGCTAGACACACTTGTTGACATGGGTAGGAGCTGACCTCAATAGCGTTCCTGCTGTGAGTAAATTTGTCTCTCTCCATCGCTTTTAGCCTCCCCCCAAACCACGATCTTATTTCGTAGCGTAATATAATTTTACATAATAATTTTTCTTGTTGTCTAGTAGCCGGCTGGTAGCTTACCGGAACGATGCCTATCCGTTGCTGGTAGCTCAGCTGACATGTAACTGTTGTATTTATTTCTTTGTTCCTTTATGTATTGCGGCACAATAGCAGAGGTGCTTTACACCACTACCTAACGTGTATAATGATGATGATGATGAAACACATCACAAGATGCCTTTTTGAGTTGTCTTCCGCCTACGAACTCCATTTTCAGGAGTGGGAATGCCACTCACAGAATTACCCACTGTATTACAATGCTTGTGACTGCCAACATAGCTTCTACTGTTCTGTGCCTCGCCTGCAAACGAATTGCAAAATATTGTGTCCATTTCCCCATCGATATGCTTCTCTGTCTCTGTCCATTGCACACTGAATCCGATTAAGTGTCTTTAGTCGGCTTAGTCATGTCTCATTGGCGATAAAATCCGGTTTGTTCATCTTAGGGGAGGTAGTTTTTATTTGAGTAGTTCTAACTGCATTTCATTCCGCACTTACTGAATCGATCAATCATGAACAGCACTATGGTCACTATTCATTGTAACGCGTAGGTTGTTACCTCAATTGGATACGCCATACGTACCTTGGCAGACGTTGACATGAACTGATATCAGCATTGCACTAGAACGTAGTGCTGGTTCGCTACCGTGCACTTGCATGCGACTGTACGTGGGCTGAAATAGGTTATGCAATTACGCTAACCCCATTTGCTTAAGTGGGGTCTCGAACCCCGGAAGGTTGAAGTCTCACTCCAAACCCCTGAAATACAAGTCATCAAATTGACCATCCTGTCATTAGCTACAGATGACACATCAATTCAAGATTGTCGATTGATTTAGGGAACTGATCTATATCCGAATTACGCCTCAGTGCGCACACTCACACATGGCACTCATTCTTCCGGTGTTAGCGACGAAGCCGGGTGAATCGCCTGGTGTATGCGGGCTGTTGCATATTACCTCGCCCATCTCGTCAGAATGCTCGCCTCATCTTCGTTCTGTTCACTGATCTCCCCTCAGACATCTTTCTGAACTTCATAATTCACTCTTTTTCTTTCCGCCCCGTGTGATCAAAGTAATCATGAACACTATATTTATTCGATTTTTCTAGCGTGGAAGCCCCGTCAGTAGACCGGCTAACACGCTCAATACATATGAACGATCTAGCCATCTTGGACGTGTACAAGGCTTCCATGCAAATCTTATCGAATTGGCCTGTACAAAGTGCCGCCCATGTTCATCTGCACATGGCTACAGCATAACCAATCATAAACATGGCGAAAAGTCACGAATAATTCAACTTAACGACCTGGCGTATCTGATAGTAAATTATTTCCATTTTGACCCAACTCTCAACTTGAGCAATCCTTCTACATCGATTTCTCACACCAAGTCTTTAGTCTCATTTTCATTTCCCCCTCCATTTCTACAACCATTGTTATCTTTCACGTAGCAACTGTTACCTTTCAGAGACCTGCTCATAATTGTTCAACTGAAACCAATCAGGCAGTGAAACCTACTTGGAACCTGGGCCATGAATTTTGTTGCACCTTCTTTTTATTCATTTAACACAACATCGGTGCTCTAAAAGATATTCCATTAGACCATGGAAATAGGGTTAACTAAATTAGATGAATTCAACAGAAACAACAACAAAAGCAACAACGACATTACGTGCTGCATCTTATTGTTGACTCTTTCCAGCTCTGGCATTTCTCTTACGCTCATCGTTATCATGAGCAGCATTTTGTAGGTCCATTTGGCTACCACACAATTGGGCTTTAGAAAAATCTATTACTTTTTTGTAACTTAGGACAAGCAACCCTGTTGTTCTTGCTCAGTATACATTACACTCTTCAGATAGCATCAAGTATCCTCTGGATCCTTTGTTCCAACATATGGGGTCAGCCATTATCTCTCAACTTTGGTATCACTTTTTAACGGCGGACTTTTGTACTCTTGGACACCCAACGCATGTGGGGGTGGGGACCGGACTGTGCATACCACGCACCACGGTCAAATCAGCTCGGTGTGCTGCACGGATAACCGGCAACCAGCACTGCTCTTTGTCATTTCGAGTGTTATCGTGACCTGTGCTTCTTATCCGTGGATGCGGTGTGGGTTTATGTTGATTAGCTGAAATGAGCTATAGACCACAGTCAGTCAACTTGTCAATCTGCGCACATAGCTTGAGGGGATCATCTTCTGATACCACAAGTATTTCAACTGTGGCTGCATTGTCCCGATTGACGAATTCTTCAGTCTATTACTAGCCTCCTACTGTGTTAACGACGCAAACAAGTTGTTCTGCATCTGTTTGCCTCGATTCAGCTGATCGACTTTGATCCGAACACCAGAGCGCAGTGTTCGCAGTTACGTGGGTTCCCCACTGCAATGCTAATAATAATAATAATAATAATAATAATAATAATAATAAAGAAAAACGGTTACAAAGCGATCCGTTTTCGTGGTTGAGCCCAACAGCTTTCGCTGCAACTTCCCTTAGCTTGTGCTTACCTCAGTCAGACTTGTAAACGTAATTTTCTGATGTGATTTGCCGAAAAGAGATCTCGTTGCAACCGCGTTTTCTTACATTTCTACAAGCATTATTTGAGTTCCAATAATAAAGAATCCAGCAGTAATAATGATGGGGCTCATCAGATAGGATACTTCAGTTAGAAGCGAGGGCCGACTATAAGAGGATCTCGCACTGGGCCATATCCGGTAGAGCATGTTACCAATGATCTGGGCAATCCCGAGGACCAAATCCTGGTAGGGGGAAAACATTAGTCCGGCTGTAGGCCAACTGGTACTCAATGGTTCATCAAATTTTCTGTGTACTGCTGTATACCGGATGTCGGACTTTAGTTTTACTCACTAGGTGCTTCCATCGGACATGTGTTATAACACTGCGCATGTACCGGTGATTGACCACAGCCCGTTTCTGCATATTTACGTGTGTATATTTCTCACAAAGATGAGACAAGATCCAGTGAACCGATGCGCAGGTTTCTTTCTAAACTTTTCCCATAAAACTGGTTGTTCATCAATTACGCGGAATTTCGGTTCAGTTCGCCCCCAAATATAAAGCGGATGTTTGTCGGTGACAATCACCATCGTAATGTCGGGTGAATTACGATCCCGAGAACGGTATAGGGAATAAATGCATTTAGTATAAGTAGATTGTAAACCAAGTACTTCATATGAAATTACGCAGAAAATATTAACTTAGGAATGTCTAGTGGGTGATGTAGCGAAGAGTTATGTAGTTCATGTATATGACGCAGAGCGGAATGGGTCTAGTTTGTAGAGAAAGCCTTGGTACATACTTCCGTGAGCTGACCAAATGAACTATTGTTTTCGTACATCTCGTGCATCTATGTTGGACGTTTGGTTTGTGATTAGCAGGTGCGATGCAAGTTATTCAGGACTAGTGGGTTTTATGATAACAAAAAGGAATGTAAAATGTTTACTTGGTAGACCGACAGTGCTTGGAAATTTCTTAAGACGCATTACCTGACCACGCGATGGTCAGTGAAATGTTTATGATATGCTAAACTGGGTCAGAGTGCCAATCATGCAGGTCCGCGGCCGTCACCCGTGGCTTTGTGGCACAAGCTATTGGCATCCGGAATTCATGGGTCGTAACCCGGTAGGGGTCTGAGGAAAGCGCACTACTGACGATACCCAGAAGGTCGAAGTAGCGCTGTCTGGTGCTTTTCCAGATGTACCAAAGCCTGCTGACAGAGAGTGGACTGTGATGAATTACCTCTGAGTGATCTCAGTGCAAACAATATGTCCGTTATTTTGCTAGCGGATGCTAGGACCAAGTAAGTCCTAAGCGAAGCATTATGGGACAAAGTAAGTTGAAGTCGTAATGAGAGGACCTGGGTATCCAATCTACTAACGCGTCACTTGTTCCACAAGCGAGCAGCGATCAGAGCTCTGATCTATGCAGTAATGACACTGGACTCATGGCAGCGCTGTAAGTTCCCCGCTTAACCGATGCGATCACATCCCACTATTTCTCTAAGTGTCAGGCTTTCTAAAACTATTTCTTAGCAGTAAGCGCGGAAACCTCTCTGTTGCTATGGCAACCAGACGTGGCACTGCTATTCTCCTGCAAGCAACTTGATCCGTCACTTCGAACGGCTGTTCGGAGATATTGAGAGCTGGTGGTACTACTTTGCACTTTACCGTTGCATAGCGCATTTAATGTCGTGCAACTCAACACACCAGTCTGTTCACTAGCGTTCGCACAACAGTTGGTTTCGACTCAGTGAGAGCCATCGGCCCAGCTCTACTTCTTACTGATGGACACATAACTCTGCTTCTACCCGAAGAGAATTGGTAGGATGTAGGGGTAGCTATTTACGATCACTTTGCTAGCAACGTTGAAGAAGATGGTTGAGTTATGGCGGTCCTGACGTCACCCCGATTATCGTAGTGGGCTCAAGGAAATGCTTTCCGTAGACCACGGTGTTTATGGTATAGGGACTTTTGGATATATTCGGATTTCTCCGACACACCTAAGTTACACGTTACCACGAACAAGTGCAATCAAGACAATCAAAGGTAACATTCAGATCGAGGAATGCTACCAGGCTGGGCTGTTTTTTATCGATGGGGATGCTATAGCGTCTGTCGAAGAGTAACAGTTTGTTTAGGACGCTGTCTCCTGGAGAGTAATCCCATCTGAGTTTTGCTGATTCGTTTTTCATGAAGATCAGTGGGCCACCACATAATGACTCATGCGAAAGATACGGTGGTGCTTTTCACAAAAGATTCTTCAACGCTTTTTAATGGTAGGAATGCTGGTCAGTGGGTACTCACTCCTTGTACCAAATAGCTTTGTCTAAGTAACAATTGCAATGACTATTGCCTCACGACTGTTTTTCAGTAACGAGGTAATTCATTGAAGTCAAATGCCCTGTATTGGACTATTTCCGGTCGTCTATACCATTTCCTGGCCAAGTGAATCCATAACGTGTTTAAATTGAATCCAACGGGCGCAAATACCCCTAAAGATTACGTGCTGCTCGTTGAGTGACCAATCTCAAATAAGCAGATAATATAACAGATGAGCACACAGAGTGGGATGATATTGTCTGACTTGGATTTGATCACTCGATGGACCGTAGTATTTAGGGCCTTCGTGTCCGCTGGATTCAACTTGAAAGCGTTATGAACCATCTTGAAAGATATATGGAGGAACATCATTTCCTTAGGGAGGAATTGCAAAGCGCTATGGATTCGATCAGCTGAGAAAATTTATAGATTGCGGAGGCTGTGCCTTTTGCATTATTTGTCTGGAGATGTCTAGATAAGCAGCCTTCTAGTCCTGGATGAAATAGACTTTTATTGTTCTAAGCAAAATTTCACTCCGCAACTTTCTACTATGTGTCCGTTAAATCGTCTCTGTGCTTCTAATTTGCTGATCCGTTAATTTACCTCCTCACTCATAGTTCTTCATCCTGACTCCTGTAAGCGCACTTACATCCCGACGATGCACGTTCGTGATTGTCACTTGTTCATGAGCTGGGTTTGCGTTTATTTCAACTCCCAAGGTTTCGGCCCCCTAATTACCCCCCTATACTTGCTGACTCTTATCGGGCTCAGCTGCTTAGAGTTTATTATTGTTCACAAGCTCGTGTGACTCCGGTTCTATCTTTGGTGTCTCGTTCAGTTGATATATTTTTAATATCCTTATAGAGACTCCTAATAGCACCATATGTGTGGATCGCTTATTGTGATGGTCAGCGGAATGGACCTTCCTCTAACCGAGCAGTTCTCTCTCCTTGCTCCTCATTTGATTTTTGTAAGAAAAACGAGTATCATTAACTTTAATTCCTTTACTTTTTTCTTATCTCCCGGTTGTTTCCAGACGGACAGTCGAAAAGTCCAAACGATGTACTTGTGAAAGAAGAACCTAACTGGGACGATGAGGATCGACTGCTAGAGGGCTTCACTTGTCTGGCCATCGTGGGTATCGAGGACCCCGTCAGACCGGAGGTGCCAGCCGCGATTCGTCAGTGCCAAAAAGCCGGTATCACCGTCCGCATGGTCACCGGAGACAATGTAAACACAGCCCGGGCGATTGCGTCCAAATGCGGCATCCTTCATCCGGGTCAGAATTTCTTGGTCCTCGAAGGCAAAGAGTTTAACAAACGCATTCGTGACAAGACCACGGGACGTGTTTCGCAAGAACTGTTCGACAAAGTGTGGATCAACTTGCGTGTTTTAGCTCGCTCCTCTCCCCAGGTGAGTTGAGATCCAAAAGAGTGCGAACTTTTTTGTCAGATTGCCGCATTTTATTGACATTTTTAATCATTTTGCCCTGTCAACAATGTGACCTTGTAGTTATTATCTCGAGAGGTTGCGTTCGAACTCAAAGCAGCATTCTGTCTGCATGTACTTTTCTCACTTTGGCTGCAGGTCGCGGTGGCGGCTCGTGCACCTTTGACTCTGCTAACAATAATTTTCTTGCGAACAGATAATGAAGAACGCAACAAGCTAGACCTCATGGGTAGAGAGAACATTACGAATTGCGACTGCCAATTAATATCTGACAAAGCTCTTATCCTATAGAAATGCGCTGCTTATGAGATGTCAGACGATCGGTAAGGTGGGGAAGCTTTGTCGCATCTTGACTCAGTATGACAGCCACCACATATCTAGGAAAGCGCTGGGCGGCCGTTTCGCCGTATTTCGACTCCTCAGTAGCGTGCACCCGCCGAATCCTGCCGGATTCGAACCCAGCGACTTATGCCACTGAGTCATGCGTGCTGTCAGCGGACCGTCAGGAGTGATATATAGCAGCGATATAGCGTGGCTTATGCTCCACTCTCATGCATGTTCTGAACGGTAAACTCATATTCAGGCATAAATGGCTTTAAAGTATTGCGTTTCTTTTATCACTTTCAGCAAGACGAGCACTGCAAAATGGCACCACTTTGTGTTATCTGATCACTTGCAAAGCGTGTTGGAAAGCATATTACGAAGAGGATTTCTAAGATAACGGCACAGCAGGTAACGTGATAGGGAACAGCAGGTAAACTGCCGGCGCCATTCATCGCTAGACATCTAATCAGTACAGGTCATCAAGTTGACCCCTAATAAATGCTTACGGTTGTCTATCGAACTGAAAACATGTGAGTGTTGAGCCTTGTCGTGACAGTCACCTTCGTTTGGCACCGTTCTACTCTGCGTGCAGAAGACACTGTTAGTAACCCTGAAACTTCCTTGGGGTTCAACCATCTGTTGTTTCGTGTCGCTTTGCTTTCTTTTCTGACCACTTTCGAAACGATCGATTTCTTCTATCACATGAGCCACATATGCCGTTAATTTGTAAGTGATCCAGATAACACGAGATATTGCCATCTTGCTTATTGTCTTCCAATATTTGTTTTTTTTGTTCTCTTCCGATAGAGGAGTTTGGTATGGATTCAACCGATACGTTCTATAACCCGTTTTTCTTTTCAAAGATGAATATGTGTACGCACTTATGCAATCAAAGCCGATTTTCGCCATCGAGGAAAGTATTCTAGTCAGCTGACGAGTGATCGGCGTTAGGTGTTGCTCACTCACAACGCCGCACTCCATGATCGCTTTCGTACCTCGTTCTACTCATCAGCTAGACCTGTTAGCACTTCAACTCGAACTCTAGACGTACACTACTACTAAACGCCGTTGCCGAAATTCGACCGACTCGCAACGGTTCATGATCCGTTGTGAATTTGCTTGAAGCAATCCGCATGTGACATTGTGTGACGTGATCCTCCATACACACAACGGTCATTTCTGACTGGCTGGCTATGGCTGACTATGGAAACTGTACGTTCATTAGTGGGCGAAGTGATTGCTCAAAGGTTTAGGCAATATGGAAGTACATTGAAACGCTGAGGTCGCATGTGATGGAGTTTCTATGGATAATCGAACTCGGTGACTTCTCTGGCTACTTCGCTAATGTTTATAGATGCATTACCTAACCGTTGATGCCGAGGGCATTTTACCAGAAGTTATCATTATCGATCTATTTGGCTTGTAAAAACGTTGCATTTCGCTTCATTGGATGACCGATGTCGAGGTCTGGACCACATTGATGATACAATTAGACAAGTTCTTCGCTCGGCTGATGCGACATCGTCATATGGTCATGCTCATGTCATATGCCATGTAATTTAAGCCGCTTATTCCGGCGTAGTTGTTGAGCCATAATAAATCAAAAACGCAGGGGGAAGCTGTCACCACCAAATCGAGTGAACTATATACTTGTGGTAAAATACTTTGTCACGAGGTTAACTGTGGAAGATTGAAGTGCAGCTGTTCATGTAATCGCAATTTAAGCGGTTCGCACAGTCGGAAACAATACTATAGTCTAAGAAGCACACGAGCATGGTTTTGTTTTGGCAATGACAGCGCTGAATGTCATTCTGACTCTTGGACCTACAGCCACAATAGGCAAGCTTATCGGTCATCTGTTGATCGTTTTTCCGAGCTTGGTAAAGAGATCGCATACGTTTCACCACCATGCGAGGTGGCATCTTCAGTGCGGTAATAGGCAGTGTATAATGCTGCTTATTGAATTGTCAGTCCGTCATCCACGGGCAGGTGACTTTTGAAGGTGGCAATTTCGATTTGCGCCACGTGATCTCTGCCCATTCGCTTCCGCGGCTGAACCACGTCGTGCGATTCGCCGGAGATCTTTCTTTCTGAGTTGATGGTACACGGGGTCGATGTAGATGCGCATGTTGATCGAATTATTAGAGGAGTACCATGCTTCTAGGAACTCTCTTCCTTTCTGTGTTGTTGTTTGAGCTAAAATCACCGCTTTTGTTTCAATCGAAGCTATGTCCCTCCTCATCCGCATGCGCTGAGACAAGAGACGATGCATAATGTTTTTTACAAGCCCTCTGATGTTCTTGTATTCTTGTGGGCAACTTCATTCATGTCTGCCCCACATAGTTCATTTCACAGTTATTGCAATTTATTTTATACACGACGTTTGTTCGTTCTTGTGCATTCCTAATGTCGTTTGGGTTTGACAGTATTCTTCTCATAGTAGCGGTTGGCTTATGAGCGACCACGATGCTGTGTTGTTTGAGCAATCTGGCAGTCATTTCAGATATGTTCTTCATATACGGCAAAACGACCCTCTTGCTTGCATTTGGTATCGGCTCGATGTTTGTGGGTTTGTGGTTTAGACATCTGCGGATGAAGCTGCTTGGGTATCCATTGCGCTCGAACGAATCGAATAGGTGTTTCTCTTCTTCCCGTTTGGCTTCCACTATACTGCAGTGTGTTTCAATCCTGCGAAATAGTGTCCGCACGCAACTTATTTTGTGGCACTGGGTGGTTGCTATAAAAATTCAAAAGTTGGTCCGTATGTGTCCCTTTCATGTGAACGGATGTTTGAAATTCACCATCGTTTGTTCTGGTCACCAACACATCCAAGAATGGGAGCATGTCTTCTGCCTCTAACTCCATTGTAAACTGAATCCCATCCATTGCATTGTTGAGCAGTTGGTGTGCAATTGCTACTTCACTGCCTGTTTCAGTTTTACAAATGTATCGTCGACATAGCGTACCCACAACTTCGGGTTAATAGCTGGTAGTAGATCTTCTTCCAACTTTTGCATGACGATCTCAGCGATCAGACCTGATACCGGTGATCCCATCGGCGCCCCCTTCACTTGCTCGTCGATCTCTCCGTTGAACGAGAAGTAACTTGTGAGGCATAGTCGGAGAAGCTTGCAAATGCTTGCAGTCGTCATACTCTCAATTTTCTCATCTCTGTTGTTCAGGCGTCCTATGATGGCTTTTTTTGTCAATTGCAAATTGACAGATGTAAATAAAGCGGTGACGTCGAAGGAGACCGTCGTTTCGTCATGATCTATATGTAGGTTCTTGAGCTTCTCTAGAAGTTGCTTGACGTTGTTTACGGAGTGCTGCGAACCGTTGAGTAGATGTTTGAGGCCCCTCCACAATTCCTTCGCCAAGTTGTAGGTGGGTGTACCTGGGAGTGAAACAATTGGCCGCAACAGAGCACCCTCTTTGTGTACTTTTGGAAACCCATAGAATTGGACGATGTTCGAGTCACGGGCCCTCATTTTATTCCTTTCAATTTCTGTAATTTCTTTCAACTGTTATAGTTCATGCAATGTTCTGTTTATTTGGTTTGTTAGCTGCGATGTCGGATCGTAATTAATGCGACTCTATGTGCTTGTATCGTTCAGAAGTCGTTTTGCTTTCTCAATATAGTCTGCCTTATCCATTATGACTGTCATACGTCCTTTGTCTACAGGAAGGATAACAATTGACTCGTCGGATCTCAGGGCTTTCATTGCTTCTTGCTCTTGTCGAGATAGGGCATTATATTGCTTGACGTGGGTCATGGCAGGGACTATTGTGTGTCGGATTTGCTCCTGTATCTCTTCTCCAAGTCCATCTGACCGTAGAGCGTTTCCGAATTCCGTTAAAAACTCCGTGTTTGCCGCGTCTTTGATATTGTAGTTCAATCCTTTGGTGAGTATCTGTTGCTCTGTTTCACTGTGCGGTCGTTTAGAAAGATTCCTGATCCAGCGATCATTGTCATCTCCGTATTGGCAGATGGTCAATTTTGACATCTTTCCATGAAGCGCGGCCTCCTTCTTCATTCCGGCGTTGTTTGCTCTGCGTTCGATTGCCAACTGTAATTGTTCTGTCAGTTGTTGTCCCACTGAAGATGTCACCTCGCATGGTGGTGAAACGTATGCGATCTCTTTAGCAAGCTCGGAAAAACGATCAACAGATGAGCAACCAAGCCAGGATACCAGTGTTCCAAATTATTTCAAGCTTGTCGGTGTTCATTGAACTCGGTTGAACCATCACTTTTTAAGAATGCTTTTTCCGTGACCAAAGTGCACCTATTGGGCCGACATTCACTTGTCATCGCTTTTTACAATGGCGCTATAATAGTTGTTCCCCAACTAGCATCGATCTTGTGTTGTTCTGTGTACGACGTTTGCACTTCCATTATATACTGGTCATGTTAGCAGTGCATTGTCTTAGAACGGTGGAAAGTAGTCTGTCAAGATGCCTTAGTTTGGCACACTGTGGCTAGATCAGTTTAATGTTTAATGTTGCTGTTACCAACATGATTTGCTGAATCTGTGGGCACGTGATTAGTCGGCGTCTGCATTAGTCCTATGTGCTACGATTTAACTCCTGCACATCCATCTCAAAATGCTAGTGAAGGGAGTAACTCCGTTTATCTCTTTCAT